TCATGAGGGGAAAGTCCTTCTTGTTGAACCTGATTGCCTTCTACGACAGGGCAACTCACGGGGTTAATCAGGGGAAGCCAACTGATGTAATCTTTTTGGATTTTGGCAAAGCTTTCAATTCTGTGTCTCGCAGTTTCCTTCTGGACAAACTGTCTGGACCACAGCTGGATAAACACATCATGTGGTGTGTGGGCAACTGGCTCACAGGTCAGGCACAAAGAGTTACAGTGAATGAGGTGACATCAGGCTGGCACCAGTCACTAGTGGGGTTCTGCAGGGCTCCATCCTCAGCCCAGTTCTCTTCAACATCTTCATAAATGACTTGGACACAGGACTGGAAGGAATAGTGAGTAAGTTTGCCAATGACACTATATTGGAAGAAGCTGTTCGCCCCACCAAGGGCAGAGAGGCCCTGCAGAGATGTGGACAAATTTGAGAGATGGGCAATCACCACCAACATTATGAAGTTTAACAAGGGCAAGTGGAAGATTCTGCACCTGGGACAGGGCAACTCTGTTGTGTGGATAGATTGGGGAATGAGAGGCTGGAGAGCAGCTGCAGAAAGGGGCCTTGGGGTCCTGGTCAATGGCAAGTTGAACATGAGTTTTGGGCACCACAATGTGAAAAAGACATGAAGCTATTAGAGAGCATCCAAAGGAAGACCACAAGGATGGGGAAGGGTCTGGAGGGGAAGCCTTATGGAGAGTGGCTGAGGTCACTTGGTCTGTTCAGCCTGGAGAAGAGGAGACTGAGGTCAGACCTCATTGGGGTCTTCAACATTGTCACAAGGGGCAGTGGAGGGGCAGGTACCGACTCCTTCTCCGTGGTGACCAGTGACAGGACTGAAGGAAATGGCTGGAGCTGAGTCGGCGGAGGTTTAGGCTGGATATAAGGGAAAGGTTTTTCACCCAAAGGGTGCTCGGGCACTGGAACAGGCTCCTCAAGGAAGTGGTCACGGCACCAAGCCTGACAGAGTTCAAGAAATGTTTGGACAGTGCTCTCAGGCACATAGTGGGATTGTTAAGGAGTCCTGTGCAGGGCCAGGACATGATGATCCTGATGGGTCCCTTCCAGCTCAGCATACTCTGTGATTCTATGAAATTATTTCAGCATCCAGCACTGAGCTTTCACTCCAGAATAAAGCTGTTCAGCCTGGTGACCACAGACCTTCCTCTCCTCCCAAGTACAGCAACCACAACATTACTTAATTTCTTTGGATGAAAGAAATAAGCAGCATTTAAGTGTCACTGTAACAATTCTATATCCTTTCATACTGGCTACTGGTGTATTTTCTACATTTTCAATTTTACAACATTGTTCAGCATTGCTGCCTGCAGGAAATCTCCACTTAGATTCTCAAGTCTTTCTCCTGTGCTCACTCACTGCCTTACTCCTCCTTGTTACCTCTATTTAGATGCGCAAAAATCAGCTGCTACTGAGAGAATCCTATCTAAAGGGTTCCCACTCAAAATACTGGATTCACTTCTGTCCCTGCATGAAGAAATCCAAGAGGAAAATAGCAAGTTGATTACAGAACCTTGCAAAATCATATCTGAGGACATTTCATTATAAAATCACAAATACTAACAGAAGCTGAGAAAACCAGCAATGCTAGGAAACAAGCTTCAAACACTCAGACTAGAACAGCTCAGGCAATAAATTTAATTGTAATGAACCCTCTCTTTCTGACGTGTGCACAATGCCACTGAATTTTCACAAACAGTGAAATAGGGACCCCTGGCAGTGGTGGCTTCACACAGAGCAAAGACACAACAGGGCAGAGCAAGTGGCTGCTAAATTTATAGCTTCCATGTTGCAACTAAGGATTTATTTTAATTTATTTATTTATTTATTTATTTATTTTATTTATTTATTTTCATAGAATCATAGAATCGATTGGGTTGGAAAAGACCTCCGAGATCATCGAGTCCAACCCTTGGTCCAAATCCAGTCCATTTACTAGATCATGGCACTCAGTGCCACGTCCAATCTGCGTTTAAAAATCTCCAGGGATGGTGAATCCACCACCTCTCTGGGCAGCCCATTCCAATGCCTGATTACTCTCTCTGTAAAGAATTTTCTCCTGATATCCAACTTAAATTTCCCCTGGCGGAGCTTAAGCCCGTGCCCCCTTGTCCTATTGCTGAGTGCCTGAGAGAAGAGACCAACCCCCACCTGGCTAGAACTTCCCTTCAGGTAGTTATAGACGGTGATGAGGTCACCTCTGAGCCTCCTCTTCTCCAGGCTAAACAACCCCAGCTCCCTCAGCCTCTCCCCATAGGACTTGTGCTCCAGTCCCTTCACCAGCCTTGTTGCTCTTCTCTGGACCCGCTCCAGCACCTCAATATCCTTCCTGAACTGAGGGGCCCAGAACTGAACACAATACTCAAGGTGTGGCCTCACCAACGCAGAGTACAGGGGAAGGATCACTTCCCTGCTCCTGCTGGCCACGCTATTTTTGATACAGGACAAGATCCCATTGGCCTTCTTGGCCACCTGGGCACACTGTTGGCTCATGTTGAGCTTCCTGTCAATTAGTACCCCCAGGTCCCTTTCTGCCTGGCTGCTTTCCAGCCACTCTGTGCCCAGCCTGTAGCGCTGCAGGGGGTTGTTGTGGCCAAAGTGCAGGACCCGGCACTTGGCTTTATTGAACTTCATCCCATTGGAATCAGCCCATCTCTCAAGTCTGTCCAGATCCCTCTGCAGAGCCCTCCTGCCTTCCAGCAGGTCGACACTCCCTCCCAATTTGGTGTCATCAGCAAATTTGCGGATGATGGACTCAATCCCCTCATCTAAATCATCAATAAAGATATTAAACAGGACTGGACCCAACACAGACCCCTGGGGAACACCACTGGTGACCAGCCGCCAGCTGGATGCAGCTCCATTCACCAGCACTCTCTGGGCCCGACCCTCCAGCCAGCTCCTAATCCAGGAGAGGGTACACTTGTCCAAGCCTTGGGCTACCAGCTTTTCCAGGAGTATATTATGGGAGACAGTGTCAAAGGCCTTGCTGAAGTCTAGATAGACCACATCCACAGCCTTCCCCTCATCCACCAGGTGGGTCACCCGATCGTAAAAAGAGATCAGGTTGGTCAGACAGGACCTGCCCCTCCTAAACCCGTGCTGGCTGGGTCTGATCCCTTGTCCATCCTGAAGGTGCTGTGTGATTGCACTCAGGATGATCTGCTCCATAACCCTGCCAGGCACCGAGGTCAGGCTGACAGGCCTGTAGTTGCCAGGGTCCTGCTTGCAGCCTTTTTTGTGGATTGGGGTGACATTCACCAACCTCCAATCATCTGGGACCTTCCCAGAGAGCCAGGACTGCTGGAAGATGATGGAGAGCGGTTTGGCAAGCTCTTCTGCCAGCTCCCTCATCACCCTGGGATGGATCCCATCCGGTCCCATAGACTTATTAGGATCCAGCTGGCTCAGTAAGTCGCTAACTACATCCTCCTGGAATACAGGAGGGCTATTCAGCTCTCTGTCTCTGTCTATCTGCTCTAGAGGCCAGTTGTCCTGAGGGCCACCTGTCTTACTACTAAAAACTGAGGCAAAGTAGGTGTTAAGTACCTCAGCCTTCTCCTTATCTTTGTTAACTATATTTCCCTCCAAGTCCAACAGAGAATTGAGGTTTTCCTTGCCCCTCCTTTTGCTATTAATGTATTTATAAAAGGACTTTTTGTTATCCCTAACTGAATTAGCCAAATTAACTTCAAATTCCACTTTTCTTTCCCTAATTTTTTTCCTGCATGGCCTAGCTCTCTTCGTAAATTCTTCATAAGTAGCCAGCCCTTTTTTCCACAGTCTGTAAACTTTCTTTTTATGCCTGATTTCTTTCAGAACCTCCCTATTTATTCTACTTGTAGTCACTATTAATAAAGTGCAATATTTAAGAGTCATTAAAAATAAAAATAAATAAAAATAAATACATTAAAGACAAAAACAAACAAACAAACAAACAAACAAACAAAAAAACCCAAATAAAACAAAACACAAAACCCCCGCTATACCAAAAAGACAAACCACATTTTTCTTTACTGTCAGAAGGCTTCTGGAAAAAAAAAAAATAAATCAAACCATTCTGCAAGTTCTGAGGTACAAAAGAAATATGGACTTGGGTTTCTGCACCAAACCATAGCAGGATTTATCCAGTTGGCCATTCAGAATAGGAACAAACAAGCAAGTCCATATTTCCCAAGGTATTTTACAGTTCATCCTCTTTTTTTTTTTTTTTATGGCAGAACACACAAAGACATTCTTGTTTAGGAAGAAATTTGCTTTGAATTATTTAAACTTTGAGGTCCATTTAAAAATGAATTTTATTAAAGTCAGATACTCCCAGGCATGAAGGTAAGACATAAATAAAACAGAACCTACTTTATCATAATGTACCACTTCTTTTTGCTGCAGTATTTGCAGAAAAAACACATTGAAATGCCCTTCCAGCTGACTTTAAACCTAATTCTGGACAACACCAGCCAGAGACATAATGAAAGCTGTTACCAATTCTGAGTTTGGTTTTCAGAGCGATCAACCATCAAAATCTGTGTTTAACTTCAGCAGAACTGTGTTCAGCAGCTGTGAAAACTGGGCCTGAAATGACATGTTTGGACCTGAGTCACATCCCTTTCAGTGCCACCCACCAGTACCATCCTGATAGCTGTTCCCACGGGAAAATCCTGTTTGGAATCATTTTAAGGTAAAAGCCCAGCCCCATGTCAGCCCCTGACAAGCTGCACACAAGCACCAGCAGGGGAAGGAAGGGTTGATTTGGTAGTTTCTAACTGACCTCACTGGAACTGGGCCTGGAGCCACCAAAGCATTCCCGAGCAGCATTTCTGGAGCACGAACCGTGCCCAGTGTGCACCATCAATGTTTGTGGGACCCCCGGGGCTGTGGGGACGGGGTGGCAGTGCAGGTGTGGGGCCAGCAGGCAGTTGGGCCTCCCCAACCGCCCCAGATGTGGCGTTTGAACCCGGCAACTGCCAGAACGGCTGATGGAGACCCAGCAGGTGAGTGGGAGAGGTGCAGCTCTCCCTGTGCCAGGCCCAGACGGGGTACAAGTGGGCCTGGGCTGTCCCATGGGGAATGGTTCCCTTTGGGAACAACAGTCTGCTGTTCCAGAGCTGGCAGCAGCTTTGGTGCTGGCCATGGGGACAGGCCTGGGAGGGATGGAGGGCTCCTCCCTGAGGACACCCACACCTCCTCCTCTGTCACTGCCACACTGGAGGCACTGGGCACTGATGAGAGAGCAGCTTTTCATCGCATTCCCTTCACCCCAATTTACAGCCCAGCCTCAGCAACTGCCAGAGACCTCAATGGGTTTCTTCCAGTCATCTCCCAGATGATTCTTGGTAGCCCAGACAAGGCCACAGGAATGATCAGAAGATGCTCTTCTGATGCACTTCTGCTGTGGGGAAGGCTGAGGGAGTTGGGACTGCTCTGCTTGAAGAAGGCTCCAGGGAGACCTTAGAGCCCCTTCCAGCATCTGAAGAGGCACAGGGAGAGCTGGAGAAGGACTTGGGACAAGGACTTGCAGGGACAGGACGAGGGGGAATGGCTCCAAACTGACAGAGGGCAGGCATAGATTTGGATATGGGGAAGAAATTCTTCCCTGCGAGGGTGGTGAGGCCCTGGCACAGGTTGCCCAGAGCAGCTGTGGCTGCCTCATCCCTGGAACTGTTCGAGGCCAGGCTGAATGGGGCCCTAACAATTTTCTTTCTGGTGTTCTATACTAGCAAGACACCTTCCAGCAGGTTCTGTTTGTTCTGTTTTTAAACTACTGGACTGAAAGTATTCTCAAGGAGTGAAGGAAGAGCTGAGCTGGAATTCCTGAGGTGGGGCAGGGGGAAAGCGTTTAGGACCGACTGCCTCAGGGACAGCCATGCGATCTGAGTGTATTCATACTTGTGCTCTTCCAGGTGTCTCAGGGGCTTGGACTGAGCCAGTGGTTCCCTTCCCACATGTTTCCTCAAGAGGGATCTTCCTCAAGAGCCCCTGAGGTGAGTACAACTGTGCTGAATGGCTTAGGACCGTTTTTAAACGGTGTTTGGGGGGGGAGAGAACTGCAGGAACCCTGGAAGGCTGAAGCTGCTCTGCCATGGATTTTCTGTCTGTCCCTGGGTGGGATTCATTTCTGTGTGCTTGATTTCTGTGTTGCCATTTTACCCCAAAGGAGTAAAATTTCCTCTGCTCGATCGGCTTAACGTCTTTGACAGGGAACATGTACAACTAAAGCAGGAACCTGATTTCAGATGGCTCTGTATAACTTTATTATAATCACACTAATAAATGTACCAAGCACAAGCAATGTGCTTAGTGTAGAAATAGATTTAATACATATAAGTGGATTTTGCAATTGGTTCTCCATGAATGGACACCATTCTCGTTAGGATCAGAAGAGGTTTTTCAGATGGTGCTTTGGAACATGACAGAACACCTGTCCTCCTCATACTGGGCTAAAGTAAAGAAGGAGCATTAGATCTCCATTTCATGACTGTGAAAAGGCTTTTTTGCAGTTACTTGGATTTTATTTCGTTCTATTTCCTTTTTTTTTTTATTTAATTTAATTTAACATGTTCCAAATATATTTATCCAAATACATTCAGTAAAGTTAAAAGAATGGAAGGCAACTAATTTTAACATATTGCCCCTTAATGTCATCTTGTTTGGTGCTAAAATCCACCAAAATTGGTGCTAAATTTGGTGCTAAAATCCACGGCAAAGGATTTTAAATGCAAAGCATTTTCAGAAATCACTTTTTGAAACAAACCAGAGCTCTCCTGGGACATTTTGCAAAGGCAAGCAGTGACAAGGACAAGGGGGAGTGGTTTTCAGCTGAAAGAGATTTAGATTGGATATTGGGAAGAAATTCCTCCTTGTGAGGGTGGTGAGGCTCTGGCACAGGTTGCTCAGAGAAGTTTTGTCTGCCCCATCCCTGGAAGTGTTCAAGGACAGTTAGACGGGGCTTGGAGCAACCTGGGCTAGTTGAAGGTGTCCCTGCCCATGGCAGGGGGTTGAAACGAGATGATCTTTGAGGTCCCTTCCAACCCAAGCCATTCTTTGATTCTATAAAATTACTTCAAATCCCACAGTTGTCTCCTCACCTCCCGCTCCTTCTCTGGCAGGCAGAGGAACACAAAGAACAGCACAGGACTGGCACAGACAGAGGAAACTGTAAAACGAAAGGAGACAGCCACGAAGATCTGACTGGGACAAAAGCAGGAGCACAACTGGAGCCCGGTGCGGGGATATTCCCGAGCCCTCTGCTTCACATCCCTCCGGGCAAACTCAGGGAAATAGAAGCTCAGTTGGTCTGCGCCGACGAGGCAGACACCGAGTTTGGGTTTGGCGACGTGGCGTTGCCTGGGGTGACCCCACCAGCACATCAGGCTCCTGCCAAATCCCCCGAGGGCAGCCCCTGGCGCTGCGTGGACGCGCGGCTTCAGCTGCCCCTGCAGGAGGGCAGCGCTCGGTACAGGCAGGAGCAGTTCGCGGCAGCGGCGGCCAAGTTCTCCACGGCGCTGGAGGTACTGGGGTGGGGAGGGTTGGTTAGAAACCCCGAGATGCAATTTCATGTGAAATCTGAAAATTAAGAGCTATTAAAAAAAAAAAAAAAAAAAAGAAGGAAGGTGGAGGCTCAACTTAAACCAAAGAATCTCAGGTGCTTTTGTGTTTTTCTCCAAGTCCTTGACTGTGTTTATGTGTGGAAGAAATTAAAGTCCCGTAAAGGGGAAAAACTTCTCCCCTCTTTAATCCCAGCTCTATCAGCAACAAATGACCTCTCAATAATCAGGGGAGTTCCCACTCTTCCCCAGCTGTCCCTGCTCTACCCGGGTCAAATGTTTAATATTTTGCTTGAACAACAGGTCCCTTTGAGTCCCTTTTTTCCCTTTATGGCATTTCCATCATGTCCTCTGTTTCTTTTTTTTCCTCTGAAGACAGAAGATGCCACCGGAGCTGGGCAGGAATCCTTTTCTTTCTGCATGAGACAGGACAGGTCCCATAGGGATCAACCCCTCAGAACTTTGGGGGTGTTCTCTTCAGCAGCTCAGAGTCCACACACTGAGTTTTGTGGGAACACTTCCTGAGGTACTAAAGAAGTACAATGGACTCACATCTGAGCTGTCTGAAGTGGACATGTTCTTCCATCAGTAGTTATTTCTATGATTTCCAGTTTCAGGATGAACCCCCCAAAATCTACAGACCTTGGACATTTTTAAAAATCTCGGCCAGCCTTGAGTTTTATCAGTGTAATATGAGAAGAGCAAAAGAGGGATGTCCTCTGGCAAGGTTGCAATGAATTTTACAGGGAGAGAGGAGAGAAAGGAGGTGTAGGAGAGCCCAGCAGGTGGGTCACCCTTCCATCCACCAGTGTCTCCCAGAGAACAGCTCTCTCATAAACCATGAAGGATGCCACACAATTACCTGGCTGCTGACACTCACCATGCAGACAAGGGCTTCAGTTTTCCCATGAGACAGGATGCTAAAAGCACTCCTGGGAGCTCTCAAATCAAAGAGAAAAGGAAAAACTAGAGCCATTTTCTGCTTTACAGGAACATGGTTGGTGATGAGAATAGAGGACTTGCAAGCTGGCCTCTTCACTGTCTCTAAAAATTCCTCTCCACTCTGACCCCAATCCCTTCAGCTGGGTACCTGACATCCTGAAAAAGGAGCCAACTACACTTGTTTTAGCACTGTTCTGCCAAACCTTATTCAAAAGCATTTGTAAAAGCTTAGAGCTTTCCACTTCACAAGCAAATATCCTATTCCTTCTTCTTTTTTCTACCATACCGAAGCCATTTTTTTAAGCAAGAAATATTATAGCAGTCAATGAGTAAAATTAGCAAGTGTCATCCTTTTTAGGTGCTTTTTTGCTCCCTGTATTCAGAAGTGAGCTGTGGAGGGGACAGAACCACTGGTTGCTTAAGAAGAAAGGAGGTCTTGCCTCATCCTAAGAGGAAATGGAAAGGCTGGCAAATAGACATACTGGAGAAAGAGTAACTAGAGATTAAGGAATTCTTTCCTGGGATTGTGGACAGAGTGATTGGGACATCCCAGAATTGTAGGGCTGGGGCTTCTCAGCAGTCCCTTAATCCAGCTCTCCTCAGAAGCAAAAACCAGAACATCCCTGAAAGACAATTCTGTACTCTGTGCTGATTTTTGTAATGCTGCCTTTAGTTAAAGCCAGAGTCTATTGTACTTCAGTTTTCTCCACTGATCAGTCACAAAAAGCATTTCCACCTAGCAAATGGTGTATTGTAACATTTGTAAATAATGGTTTTATTTCACATGCAGCTTTGCAGTAGAGGCTTTGCTACAGAGGATCCCTTGAAGTCCTCTCCAGATGATATTTCCAGAGTTGCCAGTTTTATTGAGTCAAAACTTGTCATCTGTTACTTAAAACTGGGGCAGCCTGACATTGCTCTGAGTCATTCACACAGGTAAGAAAAAGTATTGATTAGATTCACTACTAGGACTGAAATCCAAAATTGAACAAAGACTGGAAATAAGTGCTGTGCAGGAAGAACCAGTTTAATAATGAGAAAAGAGGAATCAATAAAATACACCTGACACGTTGCACTGATGTTTAGATTGGACTAATCCTCCAAAGTGGAGAATTCAGCTGTAACAGCCCTGCACACACTCAGTGCTTTGATCATGTAGAAGGAAAGGAGCCTGTGTGTGCAGCCTCCCCAGGCCCAGACACATGGAGGGGGGGCATCCTTCAGACTAGTTCCAGGCACCAGTTCTGGGCTGAGAGCCTGAGTGCCCAGGAGTGGTCAGAGAACATCAAGGGCACTCCCAGGGCACAGCTGGCAGGGACACAACCTGTATTTCTGCCAGCTGGAGTATTCTGTCAGGTGAGCCAGAGGAGTGGAAGCAGTGAGCCCTCCCATCAGGAGCTGCCCTCTCTGCCAGTCTCACTGCTGAGCTGCTGCCAGTTTTATCCTATTACCTTAAAGCCTGAAATCTGTTACACCTGGAACTTCACCTGTTGAACCAAGGGTCTAACACACGTGCCAAGGTTCACCCACATAGAACCTATCCCTTGTACAGGAAGTATTTCAAAATCTCTCAAGTTAACATTATGATATATTCCAGATGCACAGTGTTACCAGGGAGATGGGTCAGACACCTGCCACTCCTGTTTGGGGAGCTGAGGGTTAAAAGAACTTGTGCTGTAGCAGTTTTGCTGATGTTACCTACATACTAAAGCCAAGAGAGAATGTTATCCCTGGAACTCCTTTCCTAGAATACGCAGAACTCTACTGAAATTGCATTTATGATAAAATCACAATGAAAATTTTAGTAATGCTTGTTCATAGACCACATCTGGAGAGAGAAGGAGAGGGAGACAGAGAGGAAGAGTTTGCTGATATTTGAGACATAGCACTGAGTTGTAGAGAATAAGTGCATGTGGTTTGTGCCTTAGTCACAGTTTGATTCCCATGAGCTTTACTGATTAACAATCTGACCTTGCCCATCCTTCTCCCTCCCAGGAGCATCATTGAGAACCCCTCTTATTTCCGCAACCACCTCCGCCAGGCCGCTTGCTTTCGATGCCTGCAGAGATACTCAGAGGCTGCCAGGTACTGCCCTGCTGGGGCTGCTGCAGGGCTGCCAGGTACTGCCCTGCTGGGGCTGCTGCAGGGCTGCCAGGTACTGCCCTGCTGGGGCTGCTGCAGGGCTCTCTCATCCCAGCTCTCGGGAGCGAGGACATCCTCTCATAGCCAGGCTTTTGCCAAATCACTGGGAGCTTTGCACTGGCTCTGTGTGTGTGAGATCTCAGGAGCAGATCTCTTTGTGTGTGAGATCTTTGGTGAGATCTCAGGAGCAGCAGAGCTCCAAGTCCTCCCAGTTGGTGTAACATGAGTAACCCCAGCTATGGTCCTAAATGACCCCACAGGCTGTTTGCTGGCAGAGAGTTAACCAAGCTAAAAGTGTGTTTCCTGATGCTCATCTGAGAGTGGGGCAAGGACTGAGAGTTCTGTGCAACTTTTTGGTACGCTCTTTTAATATGACTTCCCTTCAGTCTGGCCACAGACCCCCTTCTCATTTCTGCTGCCTTTGTTCTCAGAAGCGCCATGATTGCTGACTGTCTGTACATCCTGGCAGGGGGCACGGCCCTGGAGACAAGTGACCTCATCCAGCTCTACTGGCAGGTGAAAAACTGAGAGCCAAAGGAGAAACTGGGTGCCTGTCTCAGTAGTGGGATCAACAGGGGGGATTCCTGCTAAAAAGACTGCCCACAAAGGGAGCTCTTGGGCACATCAGTCAGCAGGACACTGCACAAGCCTTCTGTGTGGCTTATTGAAGGCGTGGGCTCAGTGGGGAGAGGAACTGAGGCGACTTTATTCAAAGGGCACAGTCTTTTATAACCTACACAAACATGGAAGGGATTCCTTATGGGGCAAAAACTGTAACTGCAGCATCTGCTTGGCTGCTGTCACAGGGGGACAGGGCAGGCTTTTGGGGTCACAGCTCATTCCTGTGATGAGTTGCTCTGTACTCTGCTCAGCCCAAAACCTGCTGCTAAGGTCTGGTTCTTTCCAGGCCTTCAGCCTGCACATTCCCCACACTTTTGGACTTACAATGGAGTACATTTGTTTGGACTAATTTTAAGGGATAAATTCAAGGTTGTTAACCCTTGGATCATGCTTCAATTTTATGGACTGCTATAAAATTTAATTTTGGATACTGTTGCCTAAGCTATTTTTTCTAAAGTCTTCCTGATGTGACCTTCAGAGAGCATGGAATCACTTTTTCTTTTCATCTAAAAGACAATTAATCTAGTAATTGTCCCCTCATTGAAGACAGAGGTTTGTGGAGTCTCTATCCAACCCACCTGATTGTTTTGCTTGGGTTTTTTTAACTAGCCATTACCCAACATGAAAAGTATCATTTCTTTGCCTTTTTTAGGCTCTGATTCAAGAAGCCCTCAGTGGAGAAGTGTCTTTTTCCGTTCTGTACACACCTTTTGAGAAAGAGGACGAGGCTGACAAAATAAAGGAGGCCAATAAAAGCTTTGCTGAGAAGCACCCTGATTATGTGCAGCACATATTCACAGGTAACAGCAGGTTTCACTGTGGACTGTGTGAGGGGCTGAGTCCAAAAGAGCTTGAAAGAGTTTGAGAGTTTGTGCTGCTTGAGCTCCAGACACAACAATGTTCCACTGTTGCAGGGAATGGGGCAGAGTGTGGTTTATCTCAGGCATCAGCAAAACTGAAGCTGTTGATGCAAAAGGCTTGTAAAGTCCTAAATTTCAAATTTAGGAGAGCTGGATGGGTTGGTTTGGTCACCTGGTTCTGGCAAGCTTTCTGGAGAACATTTCTCCTCCTTAGACTTCCTTATTTTTCTAAAAAAAAAAATAACTTCTCTTACAACTGAAAAGAAATGTGACAGTGGAAATGATTTTCCTTTCCCTATCACAGATCCTCATGGAATTCACCTGTTGCCAGAGAGAGCTGAGTCTCTGCCTGACCAAGAGTACTTACTGACTTTGGGCTTCAGAAACAGAGAGATTGGAAAAACTGTGGAAAAGTCTGTAATTCGAAAACTGCCAATCTGTCCAGGTGTGCCAACTTGCTTAGGAACTGAGCTGGCTCGGGGGTGATCCCCATGATCCTTGCTAAATGAGGGGTGGAGGGTTGTCCCAGGAACCATTTCTCTGTGCTGGCAGCCCTGACTGCTCAGAGCTCTCCCCATCCCCTTCATTCCTCCTCCAGTTTACCCAACGTCCTGCCAGATCCTCTAGGAAAAAAGGGAGATGAATAAACACAGCCTCTGTGGTTCTGTGATTTCACTTCCTAGGTCAGAAAACAGCTTTCAGTCCCAGCACAGAGGAAGAAACAGAAACATTTTGGGAAAATACTGGGAAAAAGATCATGGCAGTCATAGATTTTATAGGAAGCACCAAAATAAAGGTGAGTATTCCACTGCCTTTCAGGTGTGTGGTGTGTGTGGTGACAGAAGCCTCTGTGTGTGGGAAGGACGTGTGCTTTTGGGGTGTCCTTCCTGCTGCACATGCTCTGCCAGCATCCAGAAAGGCTCCGGGAATTGCTTTAGGAACAGAGTTCCAGTGGGTTGAGACACTTTACAGTTTGTCCCATGCAATTTTCTCCAATCTTTATGGCTTATAATATTATATCCCTACTTCACGTAACCACCAAGACAGTTGCTGTATTTAATACCCAGAGCAGACTGCACATACCAGCAGGATCTCCTCCAAGAGTGAATAATTGCTACTTGAAGCATTTCTGGGGATTGAGATCGTGATCCCTACAGAGTGAAGGATGTGAAACAGCTTTCCCATCTGTTACAACCATAAGCAAAGTGATCATAATTACCTCTGCTCTATCCTTTGTGCCATAATGGACACAGTTTTTTAGCACTGTGGCTGACAATCAGCACAGAGGTCAAAAATCAATTTTGTACATGGACGAGACTCTTTTCATGCAATTATTAAATGCTCCTCCTGATAAAAGAAACATGAGCTAGAGACTTAGGGAAACTGTGACTTCTTCCAGAGAACAGCTGGTGAAACAACAGTAAGTGCCTGAACTCACCCACTCAGCAGAGGGAAAGGTGCTCAGTGCTTGGCCACAATGGGTGCTTGCAAAGCATCCCCCCTGGTGTGAGGCAGGTGGAGCAGATGAAGGGCAGACACCCCCAAGAAAACACAGCTGCTTCTTTCCAGTGCTTTCCTGAAGCCTTTTGCTGTTGCCTTTGGGTGACCTGATGTGCAGGCTGATACAAGTGACAGCTTTGGGAAAGCAGAGGGTCTGTTCCTGCTGTGGGCATGCACTTCAGTGCAGCTCTAGTTGTAGCTTCCAACCCACAAACAGAGTGTGGGTTGGATACTGGATACACAATAAAACCCCTGGTCTTTCTGAAAGCCCCAGGAAAACTGCAATTTTCTGACCCCGCCGTTCTGCCTTTGCTTTTGGAGGTGAGATCCCTCTGAAGAGTAACAGAAAGAGAAAAAATTTTGAAATCAGGCATCTTTTGGATTCCTCGTGGCTGCCCTATTTTGTCAATTAATTTGTAGGAATGGGACCACACAGTTCGAGCAGAGAGATGTGGGGTCTGGTTTCCAGGGCACAGGGACAAGAAACTCATCCTGTCAGAGATGAGAGCAGAGTGCTGGGCTAGGAGTGCTGAAGCCAGTCCTCACTCACTGTAGGAATTTACACTGCCCCTACACACCAGTATTTTCTACCAGCTTTAGACATCCCCTCAGACATTTCAATATTCTGGTTGAAACAGAAGGGTGGTCCCCAAAACAACAGGGTGAAACCACACCACCACTAAAAGCAGCAGCAAACTGACCTGTTTTCCAAGCAGGTTGGCACAGCATCCCCATGGCTCAGGCAAGGGGCACCCCAGTGCCATCTCCAGGGTAGCAAGGATGGGGGAACGGGGTTGAGCCCTGGGCCTGCAGATTCATAACCAACCCTGGGGGTCAGTGTAGGAGCTTTACTGGGGAGGAAGAAAGCCCCAAGAGAGAAGAGATGGTCACTGAGTTGGAACAAACAGCTGCCAGTTCCACATCCACTATCAGGGGGAACATACTCCCTTTCACTTCAGTTTTCAGAGCACTGAATGATCCCAGCAAGACCAAACCTCTGATCCAAAGAGCAGGTGGCAATGCTGGTTTTACGTGGGAACAGAGATGGGCACAGAGCCAGAGCTGCTCTGCTGCTGGGGACCAACATCTCCGACACAGATTGGACCACTTCTGCTTCCTTCAAAGTATTCCACAATTGTCTTCAAGCTAGAAATACGATTTCATATTATTTACATCACACAGAAGCTAAATTAAAAACTTCTGCCAGACAAACTTCAGCTGCAGAGTCGAACCTTACAACTTACTGTGAGAGAATAAAATAATGTATTTAGGGTTTAATAGAACAAACAATTCTTCCTGCCCTCTTCCTCATTTGCAGATGCAAATGTACAATCCAGCTTCTTGTTCTGATCAGACTGGTTTTGACAAAACCGTCTCAGTGCCAAAGCCGAGCTCATTAAGCCATGGCAACACCTAAGAGAAATCAATTCTGCCCCTTGGTTTTGCAGCCACACAACCTGGAGTTAATGACGTGATTTTTACACACAGTGCAGTGGGTAAGATGTGAAAGTCAAGGTTTAACATGCTTAAAATCTACCACGTTCCTGGCTGCGTGGAGGTCTGAGAATTCCTCTGCAGGTTTTAGTCCCCCCAGGGTCTGTGTTTGAAAACCATGGATTTGCCTGTCTGCACCCAACAGTGAGCTGACACCCTGCACGCCCTCCTCAGCCTGCTCCCCAAGACTGGAAAAGCCATCCAGGAATTCAGGTGATGTTTAATGTGGGGGATCATGGAAAAAGCCTTTACCAAAGGAGAAAACTGCAGCCGTGTTTGTTACGTTTGCCGTGATGACATCTTTGTTTTTCTAGTACTACCACAGAGGTTGTGGCGAGAAAGTCTTGCTGGCACAAACACGATGAGAAGCCTGGAGGGCACAGGACTCCAAGGATCAGGGTGTTTGTTCCCTGAGCTTCTCCTCTAACCTCTTGGCTGTCCCTGGGCAAACAGGACAAGCGCAGCCCGTGCGCCCGCGCCATCGAGCACTTCCACCGCGCCAGCCTGCTCGGCCGCCTGCAGAGAGGGGAGGAACAGGCCCAGGTGATGGCCCAGGTGATGGCTGAGCTGGCCACCATTCCCTACCTGCAGAGAGTCTCTCAGGAGGATGACAAGCTGGTAGGTTTTGATTTCTGACACTCCCTTTGCAGGCTGGGAGCCAGGGAGGGAAGGGCCAGAGAAGAGTTCTGTGCTGCCACGTTCTCTCTCTGCAAGTAATTTGTCCAATGTGGGTACCTGAAGGAATTTTTAAATCCTCCTTCAGTGCTTTGTCAGAGGAGGTGCTGATCACCTGCAAGGGTAACTTTGATAGAACCACCAGGAGTCACTTGTCAGCATCTGTTTAAAACCTCTCCTTCCCCCCCCAGACCTCCCCAGATCAGTCTGGGGAAACGATTGCAATCATTCAGATCATGCTCCCTTGACATTTCCGACCTCAAAAGGCACCTGCAGCAAAACAGCCCAAAT